TGATTTGATTTATTGAAATTGCAACAGTGCAATACACGCGGAACAGAGGCAGCTGTTGCTGGTGTTGTGTCCCGCACATAGAAACGAATACTGGACAGACAATACTCATTTTCACTTGAGTCTAGTGGGGAAAGTCGTGTGAAGTGCCTTTCCCAAGGGCACAAGATCGGTGGCATGTCAGGACTCGAACCCGGAACCCGGGACCTCTTGATTCCGAGTCGCTGCCGTTGCGCCACACGACCCCACTGTTTGTTTATCTGTTTATATGGTACACATGTCAACCACACATGTAGTTTGTCCTCGTCTGTCCCTTACCTCCTTTTCGTCATTTGAAAAGCTTGCAAGCCGTCCGCCTAACTCGTCGCACTTGTCCTTCGCTCCTAGATAGTCACGTTCCTCGTGTATGATCTTGTAGCAGCTGATACCGTCTTCTGAGTGCCAGCCCTCTGGGCAGAATGGCTCAGTGGCTGTAACCAGAAAGAGGTAGAATGATGAAGATTTAGAAGAAGAAGAACTTTATTGCACAACAATTGCACATGGTACAATGTATGGCAAACTACATAAAGAGAGTAACAAACAATAAAATGTGTTGAACAAGATCTAATGTTGAAAATACCTAACAAATCTATATCATAATTATTCAAATAATAAGGGATAGCACAAGTCTTTGATAAAGTGTTACAATCGAGTGGGCTAATCACAAGTTTCGGAATTTTCTCTAATAACAAAGCATTCTAAGAAAGAGGTAATAGTTAGAGATACAGCACAGCAGAAAGAAGTACATTGCAACACATCTCACAATTTGTATCTTTGTATTTTTGTTTTCTTGTTTTTTTACTTAAGTATATTTTGTAAATCTTTGTCCGCCGGGAACATTGAAAAACGCCCTTGCGTTTTACCCTGGGTAAATAAATAAAAATGTAAAATGAAATGAAATGAAACGAACGCCACTTTCGATGAAACCAATCTAATTTGTTGATTATAGTATTTTCAAGGAAGTAGACTTGAAGACATTTTGTACGACAACTTGCCATGAACTAATCTCCAAGCAGATCATATGGTGACAAGGTAGTATCCATTGGCTAGAGGAGTGTCCATTAGCCACCGTATGATCTGCATGGAGATTAGTCATGAACTAATCATACAAAAACGTTTATCTGTATTTGTGAATGAAAATACGAATTGGCCCTTACACCCCATTGCGCACAGATGTAAAAGAAAGGACCCGCCCCTTAGGTGTTGCCAAAAAAAGAAAACTTACTGTGCACGGTGGCTTGGGAGGTACACTGGCCCTCACAGTAGGTATGCAGGACTTCTTCTTCACTCTCACAGTCGTATCCTTCCTCGTCGTAGTGGAGTTTATCGGTAAAGTTGTGCGGTTGGCACACTTCCTCTGCTGGTGATGCTCGTATTGTGCCTGCATGTCGGAGAATATTTAATCCACACGAGCTCTACATTTTTTATTCCTCTGTATTGCATTATCTATATCATCACATAAATAAATAATAAAACCAATAGAAAGAATGAAGAATGAAGCTCCTCAAAAGTCAAGTGTGCGACCGGTTCATTACGACATAACAGCAAGAACATAACATACTGGCTCCACAAGAAAGCCCAAGCCCTCCCTATCACACTCACATCTCTGTCTTTCACAGCACAATCCCTCAGGTCCACCTTCATAGTAGGTTTCAATGCTGTATGGCTCGTGATAGCAGAAATATGGAATCTCAGGTTGAGGAATACAGATGTGTGGTTCACAGCGGTCCATCACCATAGGCATACCGAAGGGCGGTGCCGGCATCTCATAGCACTGACAGACGGTGCAATTGTCGTCGGGCAGCCCGTACGTCTCATTTACCTGATAGATGGAAGGAGGAGGTTTGAATACCAGTAGTTAAAACTAGAAAGGTAACATTTGCCATAGAACATGTTTAGTATAATTAGGTACAACTGCTCACTGTACCCTTCATGTGTATAGTTTAGCGTAATGTAGAATGTACATGTAGAGTCGAAATATTCTCTAGCCAGTAGTTCTTTATCAGATACAATGTCCGTTAACCATATATATAGCATAATGTTAGACACATACCAACTAGTAATTCTATTATTTGCCATACATTGTACCCGTGACAATCGTTGTGCAATAAACTTCGACTTGACTTGACATTTGCAAGGCAAATGCATAATGTTTAGTTTGTTTTCCTTCGCATATGGTCTGCTCTGTTAATTCTTACTCAAACACATTTATAGATAAGGCCAGACAGGAGTCGAAGTGTTTTAAAACACACAACTAGATGAAAATCATAGCTCGGTTCCACTTGCTCGGTGACTGGTCAGTGATTCAATCATCATTAATATCGAAAGGGGGTTCATTGTCAGTGTCCTCTTACTACATGAATAATAAAGTAGGAAAGTAACTTACTTGAGGGAAGGTTTCCGAGCCATCAGCATTAACTACTACATTAACTACACCACTAATTACCACCTCTTACTACATGAATAATAAAGTAGGAAAGTAACTTACTTGATGGAAGGTTTCCGAGCCATCAGGATTGACAACACAGCAAGGAACACGCACGCACATACCGCAGCATTGCCCTGGGATTGTGCTGGGCTGGTACTCCATACACTGAAACAGAATCCAGCAAAACGAAAGTTAGGGCATGATGCATGTGTCATACAACACTTAACGTCATTCGGGACAAAACTTGGATTTTAAAATCCTACAGAGACTCATTCTTTCCTAGATCTATCGCAGAGTGGAACTCGCTGTCACCGAGTACAGTGGGGGCATCCTCACGAGCTTTTACACTTAAAAGCTCAAACATGAGCTTCACGTCGGTGAAGGTTAGACATCCATGTAATAAGATACGCCAAAAACAGTTACTCAAGCAACTGGATATGATTTCGGAAATGGTCAGACGTTTCAGGTAGCTTCGTCAGTGACACTAAGAAAGAGACTGCAGGAGAAATGCAGGTTCACAGGTACGAACTATTGATTGATATGCAAATAAGTGAAGACAATTTTTTGGGAAGTCCAAAATGAAGCAAAAGATAGACAATTCAAGACAAGGATGATTCAAATTAGTCAAAGAGTTCCTGTTGTTTCAGAACAGGAATTTAAGTGTTGTCTGTCCTTGTGGCTGGGAGAGCCAAGTTTCAAGTGCCTGAGAGTTCCACCCGAAGCCCCCCCCCCTCTGTTGAGTGTGGGGTTAAATGTTTAGAGTTAAGATGTTCAAAGGTTAGGTGCAGCAGGTTACGCCGAAGGGCGGCTGTACAGATACAGATGCAGAAGTTAGCCACTTACCGGCAATGGACATGATTCATCGCAAATCTGAGTAGGTTGACATTCGATTTCATGTAGAGAACCGCCGTGCGAATGGTTTTCTTCCACCACCGTCTCCAGACACTCGCATACCAAGCATTCAAAGGCTGCATTCCAGGTGTCACCAGGCTACAGGCGTATGAGACAAAGAAAATGTTAAATGAGTCAATCTCAATTTGTTCTGCCATAAATGTTCAGAAAAATTCAAAGTAAATTGTACAACAATGCATATTATCCAATTAAGCCAATGGCTACAAGTTCTTCCTTGTGTTTACAAATAAACGATTTTATTGCTTGATTTTTACTACACACACACACACACACACACATATATATATATTGTTTCTCTCTTTGGCATATAGTTATTCTGATGATAACGAGGGACATTTGGTACACTTAAAAGAAAGACTTCTGCAACAATTATATGTATTACTAATGTATACGCAATGTTACCCAATTACAAACGTATAACAATTACATGTATACCCTGGTCGTGATGCCCCAGTGAGGGGTTTTGACCAGTATTACATAGAAATAGATATACTAAGCAATGAAATTTTGATAGAAATTTTAATTTTTCTCCTGGAGGAACCTATTTTTCGTACCAAGTAGAATGTTTGTTCCGTCGAAACGTCGTCAGGTAGAGGTATCCCCAGCGAATTCAGGTAGTCCACGAAGTCAGTGTCTATATAGATGCAGTAGTCTGGTAGTGGCTCTAGAAAAGGAAAAGGCAAAACATTTTTTTTATTTCAGCTTTCTTACAATAGTAAAGTTTATTTCAAATTCCTGCCCGAGGGCTAAATGCAAAAGAAATAAAAGGGCATTGAAACAGAGTACAGAATCTACATAATAAAAGGTAACTGTCTAAAACCTCTAGCTATTTCTAAAACTATGTCTGAAGGGTTTGGCTTCTCTTTTGTAAATTATGAGACGTAAAGTTCCACTTTTTACAAAATTTATGTGTTTTGGGTAGTTGAA